TGTGTAGCATTATTATCCAGTATATGTTAAAATTTTTATTTTTATAACTAATATACATCAAATAAGAGTTTCAAGACAGGGAATGGGGAAAAAATGAGAACCAAGATACATCATGTACAGGTACAATCACCCAATGATAAATGTAAACGTATTTATACCTAAAATGTACCAATAAAAGAATTTACGCAAAAAAAAAGTTTCAAAAAAATCAGTAGGTTAATAAAATACTAGTTTAAATTGCTTGAATTATAAATACAGTAGGTAGGTCCATTCCGTTACTTGACTATAATGCTTTTTAAAAGTCTTATTCTTTTTAATATAAATGTTATAATTGTACATATAGTTGGACCCTATTTAAATTAATTCAGCCCACAAACACATACTAAGAATTTTACATTAATACAACCACTTAAGACATCTTTGGACTAATTATTAAAAGTTTTTTTTATAGGGCCTGGGATTTAGCTCAGTGGTTCTGGCACCTGCCTTGCAAGTGCAAGGTCATGAGTTCGATCCCTGGTACCAAAAAAAAAAAGTTTTTTTATAGCTCTTTAAAATTTGAGGTGTAGTTTCTATGTAGCATTGTATGTGTTACATTAAATGTTCTTTGTTTTATAGTCAATCATATTACAAAATATAGACTCTTAATAAGATTCCTTTAATAAAATACCTTAATATATGTAAACTTGATAAAAGGACTTGTGTACTAAACATACGCACACGTATAGATACAGCTTATGTAAGGTGATTTCTCCCTTCTTCCCCACTCCCTTCTTCTTTTAAGTTTTATCTTGGATCATAGTAATCATAGATTTGTTTGTAAAAGTCTATTTTATTGTTTCTGTTAGATAATACTGTTTTCTTATTCTGAAAATTATGAAATTATAGAATGTTAGAACTGGAAAGATCTGTATTCTTTCCCCTAGTATCCTTTGCTCATCTCATTTTATAGATGAAGTTAATTGAAGTATTTAAAAGTATGGACTTGTCCCAAGGTAACATTGCTCCAGTGAGTAAGCTAATACTCTATGCATTTTAAATTCTATCCATATCATAAAATTCAGATATCCTTGAAATAGGATAAAAAGGGGAAGGGTAGGAGATTTGGAAAGAAAGTGAGAAAAGAATTAAGATGTGTTATGTACATCTTGCAACTCCCCACAAAAATGGTAATCATGTACTACAAACATGTATTAATAAATACAAAAAAGATTGATTCAGCTTGATATCATTTTAATAAAAGTGATTATCTTTAATATATTGTCTCTTTTGTTTTGTTTTGTTTTGTTTTTGCGGTACTGGGGATCAAACTCAGGACCTTGCACTTGTGAGGCAGGTGTCACTGAGCTAAATCCCCAGTCCTTTAATGTATTGTCATACTTAAATTATTTTTCTAACAGGCAGGGTCTTAGACCTATTCCTGAAGCAGAAATTGGATTGGCAGTTATATTCATGACTACAGAGAGTTATTGTGATCCACAGGGCCAGCCAAACACAGGTAATTAAAGCATTATTTCGTTGATTCTTTAGCAACTTTGTTACGTAAATTGATAATAGACTGTAAGCACTTTACTGTTTTGTCAAATGTGACCATGTTTACTTTCTTTCATAACTCTATTTATACATTTACTTATTCAAGAAATATTTCTACCACATACAGTAGAAGTGGACCCTTGTGTTACAACTGGTCTGATGTACGAACATCTTTGGTTATGACCAGAATTTTAGTTTTAACTTACAACCAGTCTTGAGTTCTGACCTGAATGCCGGCCGCTTGTGCTTCCAGATGGTCTCAGATATAGATTTAACCCTTAAAGAGTTTTGGAAGGAACATTACAACATCCCTTTCCTGTGTGTGGTTAATTGAGAAATCCTGGACCAATGTCTCTCTGAGGACACTGAGATCTGCCTGTACACAGGAGAGAGACTTTGAAGGCTGTGTTGAGGAGCCTGAACCTTCAGTTGACCAACCAGCCCTCACCAACAAATTGAGTTAGTAAGTTAAGGATCCACTGTACTGGGAATTATTCTAGATAGTGAACATTCATTGGTGAATAAAATAAACAAGATCCCAAATCTTGTGAACTTTATGTTCTGATGCTCAAGATTCAAGCAATAAGCACACACACACATACATGTATTTGGGTACAAATACAAAAGGAAAGGAAAGCAAGGTGAAGCAGTAGTGTCAGGAAGTAGACTCTGCCAGGTAGCCAGGGAAGGTTTCATTAAAGATGTGATATTTAAGCTTCGTGCATCCTGAATGAGGGGGAAAGGCAGACCTGTGTGGATCTGCCATTGTTTCTGGTAGAAGGAGACCTGTGGTGTGGAGAATAGATTCTAGGGGTCCAAATTGGAAGTGGAGATATGAGTAGAAGGCTATTTTGGAAGTACTCAGAGAGACAGCCACTATTACCCTTCTATTGTGTTCGGTTCTTTGTATCCACAGGTTCCACATTCAAAAATTCAACTAAAATTGCTCAAAAATATTTAGGGGAAATGGATCTATATTGAATACACAAATTATTTTTTTGTATTTTCTAAATAATATAACAACTATTTAACATTTATATGGTGTATTGGGTAGTGTAAGTAGTGAGGAGTTATATGTGTAAGTTATTTCCAAATACACCGTTTTATATAAGGGACTGGAGCACATAAGATTTTAGTAGCTAAATGGAGGTGAGGGTACTTTTGGAACCAATCCTCTGGATACATAGGGATGCTATATTCCTTTACCCTTTTTTTGGAAATAAGTTGATACTGCTAATATAAAAGGTGGTTTATTTTTTCTTTTCTTGCCTATCATTATTACTATTATTTTTCAATACTAGAGACCAAATCCAAAGCCTGGAGCATGCTAGGCAAGTGCTCTACCGCTGAGCTACATCCTCACCTGTTTTTAATTTTTTTTTTAGCTTTGAGACAAGATCTCACTAAATTGCCTGGGCTAGCCTTGAACTTGTGTTCCTCTTGCCTCAACAGGCACATCCACCATGCTTGACTTCTTTTCTTTCTTCACATCAGAGAGTTTTACATTTGTTTTTCATAGCAACTTTTCTCTTTCTTTGCATAGCTACCAAAGCATTCACTCTAGTTCTGTGCACATTTATTTGCTTCCTTGATTCTTTAGTTATTTCTTAGCATTTTCTGGACTTTGGTTAACAGAGAGAACATCACTACCTCATTTTACCTCTGCAGTCTAGCAGTGTACCGTTTGAGGGCTGTGCAGCCTTGAGTTAAATGGATGAGGAATATATTAAGCTAGATGTTAGGAGTGAGTCATTTAGAGCCTAGTGACCAGAAATTGATTAGGTATGTAGATCATTAAAATCATTATAATTTAATTTGCAACACAATCTGTTTAAGAGATCATATGCATTTATTTTATAAAGGAGAGAACTGATGTACAGAGAGATTAAGAAATTTGCCAGAGCTCACATAGCAAGTAAGTGATTCACATTGACTCTTTAAGTCAAAGCCATTGTGATATTACATTGCATCGCAGGTGGCTTATCCTGTATTTTGATGCTTGCAGTTTTGAGAAGTGATAATCTGGGATGATTGGGAGCACATAGAAATAGATGGCTATCTGATAATAAAATGTTTATACACCTAGCAGTATAGCTCACTGGTAAAGTGCTTGCCTAGCATGCATGAGTCCATGGGTTTGATCCCCAGCTCCACAAAGGCGGGGGGAAAAAAAAGAGGTGAAAATTAAAGTACAATAAAAAAATTTTTAATGGTACCAAGGTTGAGAAGAGTTAGGGATTTATAACTACTTCATAGCCAAGCAAATCATAAAATTTGGCTTTCTGACTACCGAACCAGCACTTTTTCTAATGTGTTATTTCATATAGAAGCAAAGTCATGAGGGTGAATGACATTGTAATTGATAGTATTATTTCTTTCACATATTCATAGGTAGATTTATGTGGGTTCCAAATTATGAGCCTCTGACTTAACAATTTTATAACAACCAGTTTTGGGAGAACATAATGAATGTGTGCCTCCCCCCTCCCCTTATTTCCTTTTTACTTTCCATATTCATTCCTTCAGTCAATAATTATTGAACATTTGTTACATAACAGTAATCATGCTAGGAATAAGGACGTGAGTAGATCATGTCAAATTTCTATGTTTGTGATATTTTTAGGAAAGAGAACATTATGTAAATAATCTTGTTAACAAACATTACACTAGTCATTCTGGGTCTGCTTCTTTTTAATGATTATTTAAACATAATTTTTATTCTCTACAAACTTCTGTCCAAGCTAAAATGAATTCCTAGAGGTAATGTTCCTTTAGCTTTCTAAGGAAGTTACTGTCAGGATTGTGGGAAAAGTCATTTAAATATCTGAATTTAGAATCAGTTAATAAACAGTTATTATCTTCTATATCATTACTACCTAATAATGTGGCATAAATACTTGGTGGATGTCAAATTTTAAAATTTTTCAGCTAACAATTTAATTTCTTTATTTATGTATACCAAATGTTGGCTGTAGGCACTAGAGATATAAAAATGAGAAATAATCTTTATTCTTAAGGAATTCCAGTCTAATAAAGGCAAATAGGGCCCGGGATTTAGCTCAGTGGTTTCACTGCCTGCTGCGCAAGCACAAGAACCCAAATTCGATCCCCGGTACCAAAAAAATAAATAAATAAAGGCAAATAATATAAAGTGAAGATAATGGTAAGAGCTGACACTGGCAAAGTGCTTGCTATATTCCAGGCTTTTTTCTGAGTGCTATCCATATATCAGTTTATTTTACTCTTAAAACAACTTTGTTGGAGGAAGCTATTACAATTATTCCCGCTTTATAGGTGAGGAAACTAAGGCATAGAGAAGTTAAATGTTATAGGTAACAGAGTTAGTGATAAATGAATTGTTACTACCGTTACTGGCAGAGTACTATGCAAGCAGAAACGAGGAGCACCTAATTCAATGAACTAGTGTACCTGTTGGTTTTCCCATCTCCGGCACAAAATACCTTAAGGAGCTCAGGTTTCATTTGGCTCACAGTTTCAAGGGTTTCAGTCCATGGTCAGCTGGCTCCAAGACAGTAACATCATGGCAGAAGAAAGTGATGGAGCAAGGCTGCTCACCTCATGGTGTCCAGGAAGCAGAGCAGGGGAACAGTGCCAGAGAGGTATGGACCAGGGACCAGATATAGTACCCATGGTCATGTAGCCATGAGTCACTCAGACACATCCAGAAATGTGCTTTACTGTCCCCTAGGTGCCCCCCGTAATTAAGTTGAAAATCCAGCTTAACGGTCACAGGGAAGCTCAAAAAATGTATACCAAAAGAGAAGTGCTTGAACTAGGTTGTTATTCTAGTAACTAAATGATGAAGTAACCATTGTAATTTGCTAGAATAGTAAAAAATGTCTAAATTGATGCAATATGCCTTCATTTCAAATTATGTGTTCCTTTGCAAAATAAAAGTCCTTTGGTTGTGATTTGTGTAGATGTAAGGTAGATGTACTTTCTGTGGGGAATAAATGTGAGCTTTTGGTCTGTTGCCTTGAAACATCATTTGAATTAGAATTTAAGTGGATTTTATTTTATTAAGCTGGTAATACTTCATAGCAAATATTTGATGTATCTTTAAAATAATTTTGTTTAGACAAATCCATCATAGATGCCAACATGCTAACAGGATACTGTAGATGATTTTGTTAAGTATTTATTAGCTCTGCTGACTGGAGACAGCCACAAGCTATATTACTTAGCATGCTATGGATGCTATAATCCCCTCAGCATGGCATAACCTGAACAGTTTTCAGTGATCAAATGTCCATTTGTGTTGAGCTGTTGTGATTTTTTTCTTTTCACTTATATGATTTGCAGGATTAAAGACAAAGACTCCAGGGCCGAGCCTTTCACAAGACTCGTCAGTCAGTGAAAAACTCACGTCAAGTGCTCCTGAGAACACTGCAACATATGTAGCTGACACAGAATCAGACCAGGCACATACATGGTAAAGCCCTTTGTTTACAAAATGTTGTTATTATTTTATCAACAAATTAGTACTATTTTCAAAAAGAAAAGTTAGTGTCTTTATCCACTCATCTCAGGAGATAAAGTGTGGATGAAAAGGACACCAGGAAAAGTATCTTAGGAGAGGGATTAGCAGATTTTCTGTAAAGAACCAGTGAGTAAATACCATGGTATTGTGGGCTCTTTGTCTCTGTCATCACTACTTAACTCTGCCATTGTAGCATGGAGATAGCCATAAACAGCTTTATTGAATAAGTATGGTTGTGTTCCAGTAAAACTTTATTTACAAAAACAAGTGACATATTTGATTTGGTTTGCAGGCTGTAGTTATCCAACTCTTAGGATTTTTTTTTTTTTTGGTACTTTGTAAATATACATGGAAGACTAAAAAGAATTGTAGTACTTCATGTGTGACTGGTGAAATAAGTTTGAAATACAATAGATTCCAATCATTTGCAGTTCACTTTCTGTAGTTTTAGTTACAATAAACCATAGTCCAACAACATTAAATAAAAAATTCCTGAAATAAGCAATTCATAAGTTTCAAATTGTGCTATGTATCATGATGAAATCTCTTGCCGTCATCCCTTTGTCATGTCCAGGCTGTATATGCTACCTGCCTGTTCGTCACTAATAGCTATTGCAGTTATCAGATCAACTATCTGGTATTGTGGTGTATACGTTCAGGTAATCCGTAGAGGTATCCTAACACTACGTCAGAGTGTCTATGTAATTCACCCTACTACCTTTCATCACTTCTGCCTAATATTGTTTCATATGGCAAGAAAAATGAGTATAGTACAGTAAGGTAATTTGAGAAACAGACCAGAATCACATAACTTTTATTATGCTATAATTGTTCTATTGTTAGTTATTGTTGTTAATCTCTTATTTGCTTAATTTATATGTTAAACTTTATGGTTGATATGTACATATAGGAAAAATTGTAATATATAGACAGCTAAGGACTATCATTGTTTCAAGCATCCTCTGGGGTTCTTGGAACAGATCTCTCACAGTTGGGGAAAGGGTCTACTGTAAATATTTTTTATATAGGGCCAGGGATTTAGCTCAGTGGTGCCACCGCCTGCCTCCCAAGTGCTGCAAGGTCCTGAGTTTGATCCCCGGTACCAAAAATATTTTTTTATATGATGCTGTCTGTATTTAAATATTATTTATAATTTTGGCAATGCTTTATAGGCTCTGCCTAGCTATCTAAATAGTTAATATTTGTCCATAAGTATAGTTTTTTAGTGGTTCTCTTATTTTGAGAGGGGTTTTATATTTCTTTGTTTCTCTTTTTGTTTTTAATGGAAAGGGTTAACTCCTTTGCATTTAATGATATTTTTTTACTTAAAGCAGTACATTTTATTTTAGTCCATAGTGAAGTATTCATACTAAATTACTAAATAATATCACTATCTTAGACTATTTATTTTAATATTTACCACATTCATGTTTTATATTGTAGCCAAATTTAACTTTAAAGAGAAACTCTTAATGTTTTGGAAGTTACTTGAACAACTTTATCCCTGTGATTTTTTTCTTTGTTGTGTGTGTGTTTAGTCATTTGGGTTTTTAAAAGCAGTATTTGTTCAAACGTATTGTCAAAGTCTGTGTGGAGGTTTAAAATTTTTTTTTTCTGGTAGTCTAGAGCTTTATACTAGAAACTGCTCTCTGGCTAGATAAATCAATTCGTCCAAAATGATGTAAATATTCTATTATATAGGATATTGGAATAACAGGAATTTATTTTTATTTTTTATTTTTATTACTGTACTTTTACATACATGAGAATAATTTAAAATTTTAAAATAAAAACAAAAATTGCATAGGATTATCACCTAATTTATTATAGGATAATCAGTTGATATTACATGTATGCTTGACAGTTGTTTGTAGGTGATAAAAATGTACTATAGGGGATGAAGAAGGGTAAGATATTCTTTGGGGCATGTAGATGACAAAGGATCTTCTTGGAATGGTAAAATCTATTTACTGAATTATTATCTAAAGATGATCTTCTAAAGTTATGTTACATTAGAACTATTGTTTCTAGATAAAAAGTGTTGCTAACCTGATGGTTTACCTTCTGTTCTTTTCTTTTGTTATAGTATGTATTCGAGTGAAAAGCCAAAAGAAACAAAAATCTCCAAAATGGAACAAAAATGTGGATCATCTTCACAAGAAATACCCATTATAAAAGAAGCCCCCAAAACAAGTTCCAGTAATAACTTAGCATCAAATACTCTGGTTAGGGCAAATATCCAAAACTATCAACTTTCACCAACTAAATTCCCAAGTGTAAATAAAAGTAGAGATCGTGCTTCTCAGCAACAGACAAATACCATTAGAAACTACTTTCAGCCATCTCCCAAAAAAAGGTATTTTTTAAGTAACTGTACTGTGTCTCTGAAAAACTTAGTATTTTTTATATTGTTGTACAGTTGTCTCCTTAGTCTTTCTGTTAAATATGCTTCTGTGGAAAGTTGTGGCCCTTGGGCTCATTCTCAGAAATGTACCAATCTCCTCCTCCACTGAGACCATTAGACAGCTTTTCCTTTTTTTTTCAACTTACCTGTTGTTTTATTTACCCACACACGAGTTCCCAAATCACCTTTCTGCCTTTTATCCTTGATCACCTTTCTCTTGAGGTAAAGAGAGTTATCTTATTACTTTTCCTCTATCACCCCAGGTTCTGATTGTCAGGGTCTTGTCAGTCCCTTGCTTGCCATCTATTTCTGTTGCCAGCTCCTTACTTCAAACTGATTACCTGAATTATTACAAACGTTTCTCAGTTGGTCTTTCTGTCCAGTACCCTGTTATTAGAACATCACCTTTCCTGTTCCAATTCAGCATGAATCCAGTAAATCCTAGAAAAAAGAGCCTCAAGCCTGTCTCCTACGGGCCTTGATACAATCCACTTAAATAGTGTTCAGTAGGTACAATATTGAGTAAATGATAGTGTTGTTTAAAATACTCTTAGTGATATATGCACATAACATTTGCAGTATACAGCTGGTGCTATATTCCAGATTTAGTCATCTTGTTTATTATCTTATTCCAGCTCTCATTAATCCATTAGGTTATATTTCTAAGTTAATTTTCTACGTTATAAAGTAAACTGCTGTCTCTTGGCAATAGGTCCTTTGTATTTTTCTCCTTTTTCCTCCACATTGATTTATCAACTAACCCTACTTCAGAGAAGGTAGAGTTCTCTATACTGTTTTAAACCAAAGGGGTGCTCGGTCCTATCCAAACAGCCGAATATATGAATTTTGTACTGTTTCAAATGTTTATTTTTTAATTGTTTTGATTTTTTTTTTTTTTTTGGTACCAAGGATTAAACTCAGGACCTTGCACTTGCAAGGCAGGCGGTGGAACCACTGAGCTAAATCCCCGGCCCCAGTTGTTTGATATTTTGAGTTGAAGTCTCCATGTAGTTCACTCTGGTTTTGAACTCACTGTGTAGCCAGGCTGACCTCAGCGTCACAGTGATCCTCTTTCCTCAGCCTGCTGCGTGCTGGGATTGCAAGTGTGCACCACCATGCCTGGCTCAAATGTTTGTTGATTGCCAGTGTAATTAATTAATAAATCTGGAGCACATTAAAAATTAAATGGAGGGGGTCATAAATATTGCCAACTAAAAAAATTACTTAGCTGTATTCATTTTCTGGTTTTGTTTTGTTTTTTAAATTTAAGGGAAAGGAATGAAGAAAACCAAGAAATGTCTTCATCCAAATCAGCAAGAATGGAAATGTCTTGTTCTCTTTTAGAACAAACACAACCTGCTATAACTTCACTATGGAAAAACAAAGAGCAAAATCTATCTCAGAATGAACCTATGGACGTAAAATCAGAAAACTTACTTACAGATGATGAAGATTTAAAATCCAGTGTAAAAAACTCTGATAGTAAATCTGTTTCTACAGAAAGTCTAAGATCAAAAAAAAGAAAAGAAATTGATTTGGCCATAGAAGATGAACTGTTGGAGCAGTTATTCAAGAACACAAGAACAGAGTCAGAAATTGAAGTGAAAGTTGAAAAACAAGAAGATGTCAACATTAGAAAAAAGCCAAGATTGGATATAGAAACAAATAACAATTTTGATGATAAAATAATACCAGAAAGTGACAAAATACCTGTAAGTAACATTTTTAATAAGAAGTAATATAAATAGAAACTTAGAATGATAAAAAGCCTTTGAATTTTTTATTGAGAGTATGAGCATCCATTTTGTCTATTTGAGGAAAAAAGTCAACAACTACTGTTAAGTGTAAGAATTTATTGATAGATAAGGTAAATGTTTAAAATACAGTAATTCTTTTTATTTATAACTGTTCCAGGGGAACAGTGATTCTTTTATCAGTGTAAAATAAAATGACATCACATAAAACTATTATACATGAGTAGTATATATTTTCATAGACTTCTACATTAGTCTGTACAATTATAAAAGATATTTGACCATCATAATAATGACAGTAGATGCTTTAATAGAATAAATAGGCAAAAAGGGTGAAGAAGTTAGTATAACAACTACTGTTTCTGCTAAATAAATTTTTAGGATAAAGTAGATACAGTAGCAGTAGGAATTTTTTCTTTAATGTCCTATTTTCATAAATGTTGATAATTTATCTTACCCACTTTGGCTAAGAAAACTATTTGCTTTGTTTCCTATTTTCTGTATCAGTAAATTGGCATACTATGTCTAGACTGGTTAGCTCATTAGATGAGAGCAAAGATAAGATGAGATCACATTTTTCTGATCTTCCATCTGGGTATGGTGGTCCATGCCTGTTAATTCCAGCACTGCGGGAGGCTCAGGCAGGAGAATTGCAAGTTTGAGCCCAACTTGGGCAACTAACTTCTTCTTTAAAGAGACCCTATCACAAAAAATAAAAAGAGGAAGGCTAGAGATAATAGCCCAGTGCAAAGGTCCTGTGTTTGGTCCCCAGTATTGCAAAGAATAAAACGTCTGATCTCTTACATGGGTGCACTCTCATTCATGACACTGGTCATTCCTTCCTATGACAGCTACAGAAAAGGACAGAAGTAGGTGAAAGGGTAAAGACTAAATGATTAGAAATCAAAATTGATTTCCTAAAGCAGTTGAGAATCTAGTGTGTATCAAGCACTATGTAAATCTGTAAGTGTTGTTGAAAAAGGCTATGACCTATCTTACCTATATGTTGGTATACAAGCAAACCTTCATTATTTGTTACTTATGAGTGAATCCAAAATGCGTTTCTGTGCACCAGCTGCATTAGAGTCATCTGGTGACCTTTTTAAAAAGCTAGAGTCCCAGAGATTCAGTACAGTGAGTTTTCTCATTGTGTTAAGAATTCCTTTGATTTTTAAAACTCTATAACCAAGGGCTCAAGTAAGGGAGAGTTGGGGTTTTTTCCACCTATAAAAGAAACCTGAAAGTAGGTAATCAAGTTGCTATCCTAGATGTTTGTCTCTCTGCTCTTTGAGATTACACTTCTAGCTGTCAAGTCTGCCTTCCAAGTGCCTTAGTCCATTTTCTATTACCATAAAAGAAACTTGAGATGGGGTAACTTACAAAGCAAAGCATTTTAATTCAGTTTCAGAAGCTAGAACTCCAAGATCAGGCAACTTCCTCAGAGAAAGGCCTCATACTATATCATAACATGGTGGAAAAGTGGGAGGGCAAGTGGGTGCGTATGGAAGGGACAGAACACAAGGGTGGCCTTGCTTTATAACAACTCACTCTCTTATTAATCCAGTTCTAAGAAAGGGCTGTGAATCCCTCTTAGTGCGCTGGTCACCTTTTAAAGGTACCACCTCCCTAGACTGCCATAGTAGTAATCAAATTTCAACATGAGTTTCTGTGGAGTTTTTTGGAGGGTTGGGGGTTAGGTAGGGCCAGAACATACCATCTTTAAACTATAGTGCTAGGAAAGAGGAACATGGTAGGGATAGAAAAAAGGGCTGTCCACCTGAATCCTGCCCACTTTCTGAGGTGCGTTCTCAGAAGCCATACTTACTAAGTTCTGCTATTGGCCAGAAGGTAGTCATGTTCTATACTACTCCCCATTTTTCACCCCAGTCTAAAAGAATCTGGGAAATGTTTTAAAAGCTTGGCACATTGTTATTCCCAACAAAATTAAGAGTTATATTAGGAGGGAAGAAAGAGAGAACAGATGTTGAGATACCCAGTTCCATCTTGGAGCCAGTGTGGGAACCTCAGAGACAGTCATTCTATGGATGGTTGTTTAAGGGTTGTCTTATCCTTTTACAGAAGAGTTGATTGAATCAAGCAGATCTTGTATCTTATAACTCAGCTTCTGTAGCAATTTCTCCTATAGCAGAAAGCTAGGTAATTTAGTTTAATGGATGAATTGGTGCAATCCAAAGATGATTTGATATTTAATACACTTATATCTCTTCATAAAGCTATGTTTATTCTACTTACATTATGAATTTACATTTTCAGTTTATCTCCAAACTATATTATATTCTCTTCTCAGGTTATTTGATGTAAACATTTAGTCTAAAAATTTTGGCTTTTGCCCAGGTTTTTTTTTTTTGGTTTTTTTTTTTGTATTAAATTCTTTTATTGGTACATTGTAGGTATACAACACAATTACATTTCTCATTGGGAATTGTACCTTTACATAATACATCTTGGTTCTTATTTTTTCCCCATTCCTAGCCCTCCCTTCACGCCCTCCACCCTTCCCTATTTACAAAGACTTTATTTCCATGTTTTCCATTTCTCAGCATTTTTCCTTTCCCTTCTTTCCTTTACCCTGCCCCTCCCACTACCCCTACCCCTTTGGACCTTTTCTTCCTATTTTACATTATCGATTATCCATTCTAATCATTGGTACATTTGAGGTATACAATATAATGACATTCATCATTGGAAATTTGCACCTTTACATAGTCTCTCTTGGTTCTTATTTTTTCACCCTTGCCCAGCCCTCCCTTCCACCCCCCCAGTCCTCCCTATTTACAAAGATTTTGTTCCTGTTTTTCCACTTTCTCATATTAATCCCATTCCCTTCTATCCTTTCCCCTAGCCCTCCCACTTCCTTCCCCTTTGTCCCTTTTCTTCCTATTTCACATTACCTGTTATACATTTAGTCCTTATTTACACTTTCAGTTTCTCACACAAGAGAAACTATTCGGTATTTATTCATGTGTGTCCTATTTATTTCACTTAAGAGTATCGCCTCAATGTGCATCCACTTAACTATAAATGTCTCTAATTTCTAATTTTTGATGGGTGAGTAGTACTCCATTTTATAAAAAAACCCATTTTCTTTATCCAGTCTCCAGTTGATGGGCATTTGGGCTGTTTCCAAGTTTTAGCTATTACAAACTGTGCTGCTGTGAACATGGGTGCACATATATCACTGTGGTATGATTCTTTTAATTCTTTGGGGAAGATCCCCAGCAGTGGAATAGCGGGGTCAAATGGGACTTCCAGACCTAGTTCTTTGAGGTATCTCCATACTGATTTCCACAGTGCTTGCACCAGTCTACACTCCCACCAGCAGTGGAGCAGGGTTCCTCTTTCCCCACAGCCCTACCAGCATTTGTTATTGGTTGATTTCATGATAGCAGCCATTCTTTCTGGAGTGAGGTGGAATCTCAGCATTGTTTTCATTTGCATCTCTCGAATGACCAGTGATGTTGAACATTTTTTCATGTATTTCTTTGCTATTTCTACTTCTTTGTGTGAGAAATGTCTGTTCATTTCAGATGCCCATTTTTGGATTGGGTCTTTAAATTTGGGAGGTCTGATCTTTTTAAGTTCTTTATAGATTCGAGATAGTAGACCTTTGTCTGAGGAAGAGCAGGTGAAGATTTTTTCCCACATTGTGGGTTGTCTCTTCACACTGCTGGTGGTTTCTCTTGCTGTGCAGAAGTAATAAGAAGAGATCCCACTTGTTGATTGTTTGTGCTAGTTCGTGGGCAACTGAGGTTTTGTTCATAAAATCTTTTCCTACACCATTGTCTTCAAGGGTTCTACCTAACCTCTGTTCCAACTGGTTCAGAGTTTCTATTTTAATATTTAGATCTTTAATCCATTTTGATTTTAGTTTAGTGCATGGTGAGAGATACAGGTCTAGTTTTAATCTTTTTGCCCAGGTTTTTAAAAAATAATTTCTTTTGTGGTACCTTTTTCTCTAATGTTTATTTCTAATTTTACAGTCATTTTTTATTTTCTTCCTTTAGTCTCATCCTGTTACATACTTCAACCATTTTTAGTAGCCTTTTTTATTTTCCTTAAATGTTCTTCCAGGTTGGTCCACTTTTCCTAGTGAATACAGATCTGTGTGGCAGTGATTTGTGGTTTTGGAAACAGAACTCTTTGCTCCATCCTATATAGCTCCTAATTGATGTTCCTAAGTAGTGGACATTCTCCCAAAGCTCATGTCACCCAGGTGTTGATCATTGGCAAGTTAGGGAGCTGGGGATTAAGCTCAGTGGTTCCACCGCCTGTCTCGAAAGCACAAGGTCCCGAGTTTGAGCTCTGATACAAAAAAAAAAAGGAAACCCGAAGTATAAATAAAGAGCAAAATAAAAGATAAATAATAGGAAACAGGGAGAAAAAAAAAAAGAAAGCAAGTTAGGGAAAGACAAGAACTGAACACCACATACCTTTGACATAGGCTCCACTAAACAGCCTTTCGTGGTCCATAAAAGAACTATCATTTAAAATCTATGGTTTACATGATGTATAATAATATCAGACAATATGAGTATTTTATTTTTACAGCATAATTTCCTTTTTACTTCTTATTTCAAAACTCATGACATTCTAAATGAAAAATTCAGTACGAACTAAAGTACTTTACTAGATGTTTGGAGAGTGATAGCAATTTGATTATAATAAACTTGAAGGTGTGTTAAAAGTGAAATCACTATTCCAGCACTAAATGTTTTTAATAAGACTCTAGTTACAGGTGTTTTGCTTTTAGTCTAAGAGATTCTTTTTTTGGTACCAGGGATCAAACTCGGGTCCTTGCGCTTGCACAGCAGGCAACGAAACCACTGAGCTAAATCCCTGGCCCTAGCCTAAGAGATTCTTAAATTTTTTTTTTTTTAATTTTGAGATAATTACTGATTCACATGTAAAAAGTGATACCCTTTATCTGATTTCCCGTAATTATTAGGACAGCTTGACTATCTATAGCGTAATATTATAACCAGGAAATTGACACTATATAGTTAATCAACATTTTCAGTGTTTTATTTTTATCATTATAAAATGTATCTGGAAATCATCATGAATACTCATGAGTATAGGAAAATAGACCAACAATTTGCTGATAGTTATACCTCCTTAAACAACCATGATTAATATTTTTGTGAGTTTTTTGGGGTTTTTAAAAAAATCTTATATTGTAGACCTTGAATCATGGTTATTACAATATTGTAGCCATTTTAAATTCATATTATTTCATATTGTTAGATATTAAATATATAAGTGTATGAATTTAGATGGCTTCTAATTCTTTGTTCTTATACTTTTTACTGGAATATCTTTTTCTGCATGTATTTTTATTTTCATATCATTTCCTTTTTTTTTTTTTTTTTTTTTCTTTTTGGTACTGGGGATCGAGCTCCGGTCCTTGCACCTGCACAGCAGGCAGCGAAACCACTGAGCTAAATCCCCAGCCCTTCATATCATTTCTTTAGGAAAGATAGTTCTTAAGGAAGTCAGATATCTAGGTCAGAGGATAAATATCTGAGTTTCATAGAAGAGTTGGTTATTAGTAACTCCTGTGAGCAGTGTTTTTTATTTTATTTTTTTTAGCAAGAAAGTGAAGTTGGGAAGAAATGTGAGTTCAAGAAAGAATCACTGTGGTCAACTAAAGAAATATCTGTGAGGAAATTCTTACTTATTTGATTAAATTTTTATAAAGATTTGACTTATAATGATCATCTCATTAATTTCTGTCATTGTTTTCATTCCTAAATAGTTCTTTGCTAATTCTGGTCTGTTTCATTCATGTGCCTCTTCTAAATGGATAGATCATATTATAATCATTATGCAGTAGAAAGAGTGGAGAGAGAAGCCTGAGTGTAATTCCCTGCTCTCTCCTGCATAGATCGGTGACCATGAGCAAGTCACTTTCACATTAATGAACCTCAAAGTCTTTGTTTATAAAACAGTGTGGACACTTTTCCAACAGTGTGGTTGTTTATGTCAAATACAGTAATGGATATTAAATATTTGGAAAGAATTAGGCCATTTTTACTTTACTTGATTCTTAATTGTATTCTATCACTGTCAGATGAATATTTTCTTCTGGCTTTTCCCTTTTTCCTTTTCTTCCAGTCTGCATTTATCTTAGAAGTGTTAACAACTCCCTGGTGAACACAGTTCAATACTTAAAAGAATTAGAGGGCCTTGAGTAATTGAATGATAGATGAGAAGGTAAACTGCTTATTGGAATAATGTCTACTAGACCAAGCTATAAAATTAAAAATACAATACTGAATGGTTTTTAGCCTTTTATTACAAATCAGTGTATTATAAATGTTTTCAGAGATACAGAGCCACCTCAGTTACTGATTTTCTAGTTTTATGAAACATAGATGATTTGATTCTAAATACAAACTTCATGTACTAGAAATAAACCCTTTTAACTGTTCTTTTTAAGTATTTGAACTTTTTTCTGATAGATCCCTAAATAATAAGTAATTTTCCTTTTCTTACTTCTCCTTATCTATCCCTTTGAACTCCCTTTAAGAATAATGATGAACTTCAGGACAGCAGTGAGATGCTTCCAAAAAAGTTGTTAATGACTGAATTTAGATCACTGGTGGTTAATAACTCCACTTACAGAAATCTGTGTGGGATAAATAATGATCGTGGTCATCAACTCAAGAATTTCAAGAAATTCAAAAAGGTAGGTAGTTCTTTAACTGTATCACAAGAGGGCAGTGTTTGAAATGGTTTTAGACCTAATCCTGGCTCAAAACAGTAATAAAAGTATGTTGAAAACTGATGTTATTTCTTTTGCTTAAAATGGTTTTAAAAAATTACTCTAGGAAGGTCATGAACTGATAGATAATGAATATATTGAACATCTATATAGATGAAACAGATTTTACCAAGACTGAATTCTGTATAGGTAGCCATTTGCCTGGTTTTCCCCACCCTGAACATTGGATTTAAGACCATATGACAGGGTCTTTTCTTTCTGATGTTGATCTGTGACTTCCTCAACAGGTTCTTTAACTCCAGACTTCATAAAGAGAAAAGATTTGTGAAGTAACAGCACATGTAATATTGAAAACTATAGGTATTTTATGATTGCTTGTATATATAAAACAAAATATACATTGTACTCTGAGCATTATTGTTAGACCTGAGTTTCTCCTCATTAAGAAAATGCTCGGATATTATTTTATCAGTATGGCTAAAAGAATATATCTGACCTAACTGTATTCTTTTTAGTTTTCTCTGGGATATTGACTTCTTGCCCCAGACTACTGTTAACTACTAGTCTTTGCCTATGCATTTGATCCAAGTACAATTATTATTTCAAAATTGATTTTTTGTGGAATACTACTTTCAACATAATATATGTGTAAATTTTTGCTGTGACTATTAGGTAGTATAGCTTTTCCCTCTACTATGAACATTCACTGTTGATATTTCTCAGTTAAACTCAGTTTTCTACCTATCATGACACCCTTCCGTGGCATCATGATACTTTTTTAACACTGCTTTTGTACTTCACATCTATGACTCATGAATCACAACAGGACTGTTCTTACTGCATTATTACTTCATGTGTAATAATGTGTTAGAAAATGTCTTTATTTTTTAAAAAAATTAGGATTCAAAAGACATGCTGTTTTTTTATTGGTTAAGTTACTAAAGAAAAAGCAGTAATACCATTCGCACTGAAGTGGTATATTAATTATGAAGAAATGTAAAGTACTACAGACTTGTAGAAAATGGTTTAAAAAGATTTAAAACCTTCAAAACTATAGATACTCTTACCTAGAAATTTGTTTTCAAGCTATGTAAGAAATTCATTCTAAAATTTATATAGAAAAAAATTTAAGATTATCCCAAAGGAATTTGAATTTTTCTTTAAATTTCCAAGTTAGAGACTTGGCTCTTTTTATACTATTAAAATACCGATACCTGGTACCAAAAAAAAAAAAAAAAAAAAAAAATTGCTTAATGTTGAAAACTAATTTGAAATTCCCTTTCCACTTCACATATTGAAATTTCAAAAGCATGACAGGGTTTATTACTCCCTAAGTATGGTAATACTGGTGTGCTTAATATAAATCTTTACATAGAAGTTTCTTTTTTTGGTACCTCTTTATTTGTGAAAAAATTAAAATGTCAGTTAAAAGTATAAATTTTTGCTATCTCAACATCTGCTAAGAATCCTGTAAACTAGAAAGTTTAAAAAAACTTTAAATTTTCGTCAGTACTAGAAAGAGCTTGAGCTTTGAAATCTTTAGAACAAAATGCAGTGCTTTGGATTATAATGTGTGTGCTCACATTGAGTTACTTTAATTGCTAAAAGATAATCTGAGGCCATTTTAAAATAAAAAACTACAAAGTAAAACTCTTAAATTCTTCTTAGTATATAAATGTCAGTGACATGTCTAAATGTTGACCTTAATAGCTAGAGAAGAAAAGAGCAAAAACAGATTGTCTTAATCTGTTAATATGTTTAACCTCACTACTTTTATTATTTAACAGGTCACCTTTCCTGGAGCAGGTAAACTTCCGCACATCATTGGAGGATCAGATCTAATAGCTCATCGTGCTCGGAAGAATGCAGAATTAGAGGACTGGTTGAGACAGGAAATGGAGGTGAGTAAGAAGTGAGGCCCCACACTTGTGTGAATTGCACTTTGCCTCTTTGTGATTTCCCTAAAGCAAATTATCCTTACAACCAAACTCATGATAAATGACCTAAGGTCATTCATTCAGAAAAATTTGAGTTCCAAAACATTAAGATTAATTTATACCTTGCCATACATTTCTTTAAGGGAATTCTAGATTTATAGTATTAAAGAAATGTGTGCTTAAACAGATGAATTATGTGTATATCTTTTTCTTTTTTTTTTTTTTGGTACTGGGGATCGATCTTGGGACCTTGCCCTTGCAAGGCAGGCGCTGGAACTGCTGATCTAAATCCCCGGCCCCTGTGTGTATATCTTAATTGGGGGGAAGGGAGTTAATTCTCAGAAATGTTAAAGGAAACTAAAAAATTGCAATTAAAAGGATGGCTATATAATCACGTGGAAAATACTACAGATATATCAAGTGATATTCTGTAGTAATGAACAGGCCTTTCTCAGTCTAGGAATTATGTTTAACAATTCTAAATATTTCTCATTATTTACTTGAACATTTACCCTTTCCTGTTTTCTCTATTATCTCTTACTGGAATTCCAATTTGACATAAGTTAAATTTTCTCACTTTCTTTATCTCTTTGTTTCTCTGTGCTGTATTTTAGGTAGTTTCTTCAGATAGTCTTCTAGTTTACTACTTGTTTTCAACTCTGCTTAGTACTGCATTTATCCAGTGAGATTCTAATTTAACCTATTCTAATTTTTTTATTACTAAAATCTGTTTTATTCTCCTAAATCTTATTCCCTACTTGTAATTTAGCTTAATGATACTAGTCCCTACAGTACTTTATGGTCTTTAAATGTGAACTCTGTTTTCCTTGGAACATAATCTGTAGGATTTCCTTGAGTCTTAAGTTCGTATTTACTGTCAAAATGAAAGACTGAAGTCACATTCTCTTTTCTGTTTTGAAAGAATAATTGGTTTTATTACTTTATAAGTATACATTCCAAAAAATTGTGACAATACACAAAAGAATGAAGAAGGCCCAAAAGTATCTGTTTAAACATTGAGTGAATGATTTTCCAATGAAATTAAAACATCTCTATTGAGGAAGGACCTGAGGCCAAGACAGGCTTGGAAGAGAAGGAGTGAGATTGATAGAAGGAAGTTAAACTGAAGCTATTGCTGGATTGTGTAAATGTTTCTTTCCTCCAAGATACTTTATTTCCTGAGATCCCTCTTAAGATGAAGGGTGAAAATATGAAAAACACTGTGTAGCTGGAATCAGTTTTTATTTTAAATGGTATGTTTAAATTTTACATACTGTTTGTTGTTTGCCTTCCATGAAGAGTAAGGACATTATTTGCCCTTCCTCTCCTCCCTCACCTTACAACAGTCCTGTTTTTCCCATTTTTAGAGGACTTACATTGACAATATATGAGGTATGATGAAAAATATGGTGACTTTAATTATTTTCATTTATTACAGTAAAAGACACATAGACAATAACTCCCCTCAAAATATTCTCCCACACTTTAAACACATTTATCATTCCTGCCTTTTTCTGAAACACTCTAGAAATCCTTTTTCATGTCTTTAGTTGTTACTGTCATGGCCGCCTTGATATTCTGAAACAATTCAAAACATTTACTTTTCGTGGTCATTTTGACTTTTTGTTATGATCCAGAAGTTACATGCTACCAGATCCATTGAATAAGGTGATTGATGACAACACTGTGATCAAAAAACACAGTGAATGTTTAAATTAATTAATGTTTAAAAAATTTTCTATAGTAAAAGACATTGTCATTAATCCCCTTAAGAATACTCAAGGGCAGGGGATTTAGCTCAGTGGTTCTGTTTCCTGCCTTGCAAGCGCAAGGACCTGAGTTTGATCCCCGATACCAAAAAAAAAAAATACTCAAAATACTTCTACCCCTTGCTTTAGACACACCTTGTCATTCTTGGCGATGTCTTTTGCTGTAAATTTTTTTTTTAATTTAAGCATTCAGCGTATTTTTTTGGTCATACCTTGTATATCAGTCTTGTGATTATTCCCATTATTCAGTTTTTTCTGAAATCCTAAAGCTATTTTGACTGGCAGGTGCAGTTCTTTATCATTTCAAGAAACTTCTCCATGATGTTTTTAAACTTTTTTTCCTTTCTTGAGTTTCTGCTTGTGAGGCACGGCCATCTTTCTATTGGCTCACCTTTGCCCTCCTAAAGACACTGAGGAAAAGGAAGGGTTCTGCTAGAGCTGTGCACATATCTTACTGAAAAGCTGGACCAGCTCTCTTCTGGGATTCAAATTAAAGATTCTGTACCAACGAGTGTATCCTCGGCAGAAGAGAATAACAGCATTTTCGATTGCTCACCTCACTTGTCAGGCACCCCTGGGGCCTATGCCTTCAGTCAGTGTCCATCCCACTTCAACTCCTGTGCCATTCGTCCCTTTCCAGCAGACCACTAGTAGTTGTCTTCCCTGCTTGGGCTACTTCTTTCCCATACTTGGGACATTAAGTGAGAATTTTCCGGTTTTGCCAGTTTTGTAGCACTTTTTAATAGGTTGAGGTAGTTTTACAGATCAGGTGCATCAGAATCTTTCAGTTCTTTACTTAGCTCCATCTTTGAAGTCTGTGGTATGGAGTTAACTCTTCTTGGTCAATTACTGCTGTTGGGTCTTACTCCTTGGTTTTGGGTGGGAGAGGAGCTGGAAGAATGAGGCAGCTGCTGACTTGTTTATTAGGAATTAGAGGTGCACACTGTGTTCTAGATTTGTACTACCAAATCTCTTATTTTTTATTAAAAGCAGTTTAGGAACAGTGTAGATAGGATTTATTTGGTAAAGCAGACTTGGTCCTGCTGCATGGCTACTGCTTATAACCATAAATGTAGATTGTATTGACATCTCTATTCCTTGGGTTTGCCCTCATTACTCTTTTCCCAAACTCCCTGCCTTTTGTTCTTTTCTGGCACTCCTTTGTCTACTTCTGATGCAGACTAGTGTTAGTTTTCTTAGTTAGTGTGCCACTTCCTGAAATTTTCTTAAATTTAGGATATTTTCATTTTGGGGTTTGGGTATATAGTTCAGTGAGAGAACACTTACCTAGCAAGCATGAGGCCCTGGGTTCAATCCCCAGCACCAAAAAAAAACAAGCAAAAATGAGAATATTTTCATTTTGCACATAAAACATTCTTTTTATTCTTTTGAATGTTAAAAGACTGTGAGATGTGACTTTTAAAACCTTGAAAAGTTCAAAATATGAGGCAGTTCTATTTCTTAATACTGTCTTAATGTTTTTATTAAAATATCTGAAATAAAACTGATTTTTTTTCTCATTGATTTGTCTTTAATGTGCTGCACCTTTAAAATTAGCATCCCCGGGCCGGGGATTTAGTTCAGTGGTTCCAGCACCTGCCTTGCAAGCGCAAGGTCCTGAGTTCCATTCCCGGTACCAAAAAAATAAAATAAAATACAGTGTCCCCCATCAAGCCTCTAAGAATATTTAAAATAATACTAGCAGCTTTTCTGACAACTACTTTATGAAAATCATATATCTAACTGTTTATATTCTGCTATCTACTATCCCAATTAGAAAATATAAAAAGAAAATAGGCAATTTCATTTTGACGTTTTACAACATGAATAGAAAATCAGTGTATATAACTGAGTCACTTTGAGAAATCTCAGAAGCAGTGTGACAGCCTAAGAGCAGATGCTCTTAACAAGAGCCAGGAAGTTACATGAAGACTGCACGAGGTTTTTTAAGTGAAGAGTTTAAGGTCATACCAGGAAATATGTGCACTCAATTATTAGCAGTAAAAATATGCAGTGATTACATTTTTATTAACACATTAATTGTACATTTTAATAGGATTTAGTGTGATATTTCTATACATGCATTGATCATATCCAACCAGTAGGGATTATATTCTAAAGTCAGTTTGTGAGGCAAAAATAGACTTTAATAGGAGTTAGTCTTAACCATCTTAAGTACCTGTATTTAATGAATGTATGATGTTTCCATGAGGATAAAATATATATGTAAATAATTACAACAGAAGGTAAAAGTTGATAAACATCCTGGGAGTTGTGCAGCTGAAGGTTTTGTGGAGCTCTTCATAATAGGCATTGTATTTAAAAGAAGCTTTTATTAAGGAGTTGAAAAACATGTTCTCTGACACATACCAGTATTAGGCACTAAATATTTCTGGGCAAAGAGAATTGTGAACAAAAAGAAATGGAAGGCGGGAGGATGGAAGGGGAAGGAAGATGACATAAAAAGAATTAATGTGTGTTATGTACATGTACAACTTCCTGACGAATATAATCATTCTGTGCTCCAGACATGTACTAAAAAAAAAGTAAAAGTCACAAGTTAAGCAGTGAAATCAGGTTTTGGTTTGCTTTTTGTTTTTGCAATTAACAAAACAAGCATACAGAGTCTATGAAAAGGAAGGGAAGAGTGACTGGCAAAGTAACATGGAGCCAGATTACGGAGAGCTTTGCATATTTTAAGGGTCAAACTCAAGAGTTTGTGTTTTCTTTGGTAGACAGAAGTCATCAAAGGCTTTTGAATGGCAAATGATAGGATCCCAGTTGAACTTTAGGAAGATACATTTAGCATAAAGTTTCTCTGATCCTCTCTAAGGTACTGTAGGAGTCTGTTGGATTTGTGTTTAAAGTTATTTGTAGGTGAGGTAATTCAGCAGCAGCCTCTAAGCCCCACTTTGGAAGCAAGAGGAAGGGCACCTGTTGGCCTGCAGAACTGCTCTGGTTGAAGGTGGGGTGCATATTGGCATTTCTGTTTCATCAGCTTTCTGATCTCAGAGGACTGAACTTTGATTTAATAAAAGGATTCTGCTGAAAAGGATGTTTAAAAACCCAACAAGTGGGCCTGGGATGCAGCCCAGTAGCACCGCGCCTGCCAGGCAAGCATGAGGCTCTGAGTTGGATTCTTGGTTCAAAAAAAAAACCCAACAAGCTAGCAATATATATCAGTTCCCTTTGAGAGACTGGCTGGAGAAAGTTGTTTAATTAGAACACTTTGCAGTAATCTTAGTGTAATATGATAATAAAATCTGAATAGGATAGTGTAGAGGCAAGAACTTACAGACTTAGTAATGTGGATGTGACAGTCTCAGCGATGATTGTAAAACCTATCAGTAGAAGCACTTCATTACATATTCACTACTAAGCAAATGTTTGAATTTATCTTAATTTTGACAGGTACAAAAGCAACATGCAAAGGAAGAGTCTCTTGCTGATGATCTCTTTAGGTAAAGTTTGACTTCATCTTTTTCACATGCCTTTGAGAGATGTGTAGATAATTCAGATTCTGTTCATATGTACTAGATATTTGTTTCTTCTGTTTTATAATATATACCTAGTCCTTCACCAAAAGAATTTGTTTTTAATATATGTTTCTTTTTATTACTTGAGCACCTCTTAACTGGGTTTCCTGCATATAGCTTCAAGGTTTAAGGTTTGATTCAGTTGTATCATATAAGATACTTAAAATTTGGAAAGAAAATTTGGAAAGGATTTAGGCAAAAAAAAAGTTCCTAAACTGGGTGAATTTGACTGGCACACTGTGAGATTTTCAGTTCTGAGTAGAATTATGAATTGATTTTTTAATTCAGACAAGTAAAATGCCAGACCATTTGTTTATATTTAATTAATACATGACAAAAACAAAAATCTAGATTAAAGTTTCAAAGCAGGTTTTTGTGAGAGATTTTAGAGGAATTGTAGTGCGTAATTATGATTTAATTATAATTTAGCACATTTTCAGCATTCCAGCCCAGTTTAAAACCTATAATTGTCTCTCAAATATCAATAAATTTTTAAAAATTAGTAAATAAAACACCAGTACTAAAG